TTATGACATGAGAAGGAATTGTTTTTACGCAGACGAAAAAAATTTCAATTTAAAAATTTTTCCTTTCTAAACAAATTTTATTTTTGAGAATTTAACGAATGACAAGTTTTTTTCACTGAATCTCGACAATTACCGGGGCAAAATGGATCGTTTTACACGCATTTCTAACTTAATAACACCAAGTTTTTATTAAATAATAACAAAGGAAATAAACAATTTTTTGTTTTAAAAAAAAAGTTAGTAATTTCTTAAAATTCATGGTTTTAATCTTAATTGTTTAGATCTTCTATGCTATTAGTGTCATATCGAAACGCTTCTTCCCTCCAGCGTTTCAAATCGGAAATTTCCCAACACATGTTGCAATTTTCACATGCTTCAATCGCGCAGTTTAATTTTCCACAAATTTTCCATTTTGATATGCTCTCCGAATTGTTTCACGTAACAAAGGCAGTTGGTTTGTCATGAAAATTGCACAAAAACCATTGAAATCCGAGGAATCAAGCTACCAGCCCGTGTGAAACTTCAACTGAATTTGAAAAAAAAAAGCCATTTTAATTATGTTTTAATCCTCAATGGACCATGTTTTGTAATAGCCGCTTCAATTAAACACGTTTTCCCGGATTAATGAGTTCCCTCTTGTCGTCCCGCCTCATCCGTGTTCCCACGCCCCCTCCCCTTCTCTCCCTCTCTCTACCCCGGGGAATCCCTCAAACTGAGTAATTTACAAATCGGAGTAAACGTTTACAAACAGATGCCAGAGGAAACATTTGAAACAAAATTTTAATTCCCAGTTCACGGAGACAACTTGCAAAGTTTAAGGCGAGATCACGAATATTCGAATATTTATCGGCGGGAGGGAGGGGGGTTGCGTGACGGAATAAGCCGACGAGCGAGCAGTCCCACCGAGGGATGTCACCTGCGCTTTAACCGTCCACAAGAAAAAGTTTCACTTTTTTTCATTGAATGGAGAAAAAAACACGAATTTTATCTCGTTTTATTGATTAAAGCTGAAGTAAATAGAATTTCAAACGTGAATACTTTTTTTTGTTGAATGAAAAGGAATTTTTCTAATTTTTATTAGTTTTTAGGAAATAATTGAACTGAAATTTTCAGTTGTCATTGATTTTTCCATGAAATTCTCAATTTTCAATTAAAAATTATGACGAAAATTTTCAAAAAATGTACCGGAAATTTAAACTAAAATTTTTTTCAACGTGTTATTTACATCGAGAAAGGGGGTGAGTGACTGGGAAATAGTAGAGCCTCAATTTTAATGAAATAAATTTCAGGTATTTGGTGAAGAGGAGCATGAAAATAAGTGGAAGAGACCTTTCCAATTATCTGAAAATTCCAGTGCTCCTGACCTCTGATTAAATCAGATCCGGCTGCGATTATCTGAGCGACAAATTGGCCTTTCATTTATATATACTTTTTATTAGGATTCTCTCTTCGTTTTATTCAGCATTCGTCGCCCTTCAGGTTTTCTCAACATTTTCAGAAGTACTCTCCTCGAATTAGACGTCTGGGGGTTGTCTTTGTGTGTACCTCTGGCTTCTGATTTTCTTTCTATCGTCTGCGCTTCAATTCAGTTTGCGGGCCACGAGGGCCAATGAAAATTGATGTCTTCTTCATCATTCATGACGACAAAGTATAAAGTTTATTATCAGTAAGGAACATAAAAGAGCCCAAGGAGTTGCAAACTCTTGACCCTTATTTTGATGTCGAAGGACCAAGAAATTTCTGACTAGCGTAGATTACTTTATACCATGTTATTTTATTTTATTTTCTTTCCATTTCCATTTTTACAATGAGATTCATTTAATTTTATTCATTCTTATTGTTATTACATATATTTTTGTTCCTCAATTCACAAGTGACAATATTGAATGAAGAGGAATTTTCCATAAATCACGTGAGAATACAGATCGCAAACAATTTTCGATAATCATATCCAAAATTTTTCATTTCTTCCTTTTTCTTTAAATTAATTAGTAGCAATTATCTGAGAATGTGAATGAATATAAACATTTCACATCCCTTTGATATAATTTCAATGGAACCGAATAAGGAAATTGCAAAGAGAGATCGATCATCATCAGTCAGTACCAATAAAATGAGAAAATCTAATTTTCTATGTCTTTTCGAAATTTTTCAAATTGTTTTTTTATTTTTAAAAAATGAAGGGAGTTTAACATTTTTTATTTCTGTGGTCGTATTCCGTTCACAGAAACAGGAAATACGGGAAATGTAGGGAAGGAAAATCAGAAATAAATTTTAGAAATCGATTTTTCAATCTTGAAAATTTCAAAACTTTTTTTTTTTAATAATGCAGAAAAACCAATGTATTTCCTTTCTATTATCTATTACGATAGGAATTCTGATGGAAGAAAGTGAAAAGAAAGAGGAACGAGATCAACACGAAAACAGAATTTTTAATTTTTCAATGTCTACAGATAATTCTAAAATTGATATATTTTTTCGAGTAATAAACCAATACCCATAAATTCAATTCCTATCCTCACATTTTCATAGAATACCTTAAAAAATGGCAAAGAATTAAAATTGGCAATGACAAATTTTATCGGATTATTATTATTATAATTATGTAATAATAAGCGTCAGAAGGCCCACAGAGCGCGTAAGGGTTCATGAAGGTCTAGAAATCAATTTTCGCAGTTCGATCAATGTTTCTACTTCTTAAAACTTTTTTTTTTTTTATTAATTTTCATTGCACCTTCTTCTGTCCGCCAGCTCGAATTCCCTCCTCTCGAAGCCCGCCTATTTTCCATCGAAGTATATGGATGAACAGCACACGAGTATGCCGCATACACTCGGTTTTATGTCTCCGTGACGATGCTTTATGCTCACGCGATTTGCCCATAAAAATGTCAGTTCATGGCACAAAGTCTACAGTCAGAATTTTCAAGACGGAAAATCGAAGTCAAAGGGTGAAATCAAATCACGCGTACATGAAAAATGATGGAAATTAAACAAGCAACCGTTGCCCATAATTTTTTTTCATGACGTTATTGAGTATTTGTAATGTCAAATTGAAGTGAATGACTGAGGTGAATTATCTTCGAGGAGTAATAAAACTTCAACATTGTACAATTGACCCAATTTTTATTATCACAACAGACATCTACCAGTTAAATTAGCTCAAATAGATGGAATAGTTCATCGATTACGCAAATGTTCATGAACAGGAGTTGAATAAATTTAGAGTAATTGAAATAACTCACTATCACGCGGAGTATTTAAAAAATGAATTTATAACCTCGTTAATACCTTAATTAATTTTCTATCATCTTGCCGACGCAATCACGAATCGAAATGGAATTCCTCACCTCTTTCACCAGAAAAAAAAAATTGGAACATCGCATGATATGTACACACATACCACTCGATAGTCAAACAATTAGTTACGGTTTTGGGATTTCGTGCCAATTATAAGAATCAGGTTGACTTGAGATATCCAGAGCGAATAGTGAAAGATTACGTCGTTGAAATTCCTCGTTGCTCATCCGTCCATTACCAGTCAGGTGCATGCAAAACAATGAATGCCCCGTGCGTTGGTGTGAGAATTTTTTCATAAATATATGGCTTCACAATGTTTGCTCGTTGATGCAAATTCATGAATATTTATAAGATGAAATATTTACAGTAAAAAAAATAACTCTGATTCTGCTACTATACCAATTATTTCTAATGCTTCGGAGCACTTAATGGCACCTCTTGGAGGCATTAGAGACAACAATCGAACTCACCGAGTGATGAAAAATAATGTAACCACTTGAATTCTATTCTTATGAGGCACCCAGTGCCATTACACGTCATTGTTAGATTGCGACATAATGTTGTAATAAAATGGAGGCAAACGTTTTTTTTTCTTCCCATTGCACCCCAGGTGAAACACGGGAGAGTGATCCAAAGGTACCTGAGACATTACCAGTAGGCCACCAACGGCCTTGTCTTTTGCATTCGCCGCACTGTATTCAAGCATAAAACATTACCTCAATATACGTATTGTATGTGTCACTTTTCCTGCCTGAGTACCTTTCACCAATAATATTATAACGAGTTGGTGGTACAGACATCTACCAAACACACTTACTTCAAACAATTTACATTATATTGTTTTAAATGATTATTTGTGGGGCATAATGAGAGCAGACCACCCAAGATACTAATTGCAGTCTAGACTGTATAATTGACCAAAATACAAACCTACGCATATATCAATGAAGTAAACATCACTTCTGATGAAGACATCCTAATCTTCTCCCTCAAGATGAAGCATACGTAATGATTTCTTTTTCGAGAATCCCTCCTAAACTCTTCGTTCTCACGATTTTGTTCATTTGTTTTTTTAATTAATCCTGCTTATTACATTTTTTTTCGTAATTAGACCTCTCATGATTACATATTATCGAAACCACTCCACCACAATTTATTGTTTTGTAATTAAGATATCGTAATCTCACATTCACCATTGTCTTCATACATCAGAACAAAAACATCGATGCACTTTAACTGATGATGCCATAATCATCAATTAGATTATAATCATTCTCATTAAGAACTTAGTAATTTTCGTTTTGAGTTGCAATACCCGAACCCTTCCTTATTTGTGTTTCAGATCCTTTCACCAATAAACCAAATAAATCAAGCAGAGTTCATCATCAATCGACAATACATCTCAACTCGTACCTGCCACATACTAACGCACACGAATTCATTAAATCAAAAAAAAAAAAACAACCAACACTGCCATAAGCCAACGAATAATGAATTAATCCAATCAAAAAATCTGAGATAGATAAGATGAGACGTGTCCGAAGGAGCCATGGACTCCAGAGATACCTCGCAGGGTCAGATCCGATGATCTGTGACGATGAATGAATACAATTAAGCAATAATTAGAGTAGATAATCATCGCACTAAGAGGAGTAAGATAATCCGCCCGAATAAAGACTTGAAACTAAAAACTATAAGATAAGATGTTGGGCGTCAGTCAGCCGAGCAATCCTCCATCAAGTTTGCGGCACTCGGCAAGTTTCTCCTGTCTCCAACGAACCTCAGGCGACGGAGGGCACCGTGCAAGAACATCAACCCTTCCTCAACAACCAAATTTACAGCTATCGACAGCACAGCATTACGGTGGCCCAAGTTCCCTTCAGCAGTCGTCATCGAGGCAAGTGGAGATCGATTGTCTTCCTGAGAGTAATGACTACGGATTCGTAAGAACCCGACCTAGATTACGTAGCACAAATTCAACAGTTCTCCGAGAGGAGCAGGAGCGTCATTGCCAGCAGAAATTCTATGACTCCGAATGCGTGTACTCTCAATCCTCGAAGATTAAGGATCGAGAATTACTGGAGGCATCGAAGAACCGAGAGATCGTGAAGAATCCGAATCCATTACGTGGTGCATTGATTCTGTTCACAGCATCAACGTCTTCCTGGTGGAAGGCGAAACAGAGGGAAGAGTTATCAGCGGCGAATTCATTGATGACCCCCTTGTCCTGTGGCTCGGAGACCAGCAGGAAGTGGTCAAACGGGTCCACTATGACACCTCCATCATCCGAGAGGAAGTGGCTCCCTCTGACATCATCTGGAGCGCCATCGAGTGAGCGCAAGTGGTCTTGTAATTCGATAGCCTCACAGGAGAATGACAGGAAGTGGACAAGTGCATCTGTGTCGCCAACCTCAAACAACCAGGACCGCAAGTGGAGGTCCTTGGGGGCATTGCTGCGTACACCAGTGACTCAGGTATCTCACGCGAGTCCCAGTACGTTTGGACAGAACATGAGTGTCTCTTTGATCGAGAATGGTCATGATAATCCACGGGAATGCTCAACAGTTGGACCATCTGGAAAGACCATGAGGTACCCTCAGCCCACTTCGTACTCTGCGAGGGTATCAAGAACGAGTAGGGACACCTACAGAGAGAGTGGTGACTTCTCTCAAAGGTCCAGTAAAGTCAGCAGACGACTCTATCAGGATTCCAATGATCTCTCTGAGAGTGAGGATCAGAAGAGAAGGACAAGACACTCTGAGGAAGACAGCAGGGACAAGCTCAAGGGCCAAACAATTGAGGCACGTGCAACATCAACTAGATCAGGAAGGGCACAGAGTTTTTACCTTCTCGATGACTTCCTCAAGCCCCAGCCACAATCAACAAAGTGTTCAATGAACTTTCATCTACCTTCATTCTACAAAACCGAAAGGAATGCAAGATTGAGTGAAACTAAACCAGTTAGCGTTAGAAATCCAACAAATATAACACCACCACGTCGTCACAATTCAAGTTCAGACAGTCTTGAAGTTGCAACGAGTCCATTACCACCACCAGTACCACCGCCACCACCGCCTGAGGCAACTGGAATCAATGGTATCAGTGGTACCAAGGAGAGGGAGAGACTTGATACTGGAAGGGAGAAGGAGGGATGTCCCTGCAAAATGTGCTGGGCTAATCTTCAGCAGAGATCATTTCGCGATGAGGTAAGTCGCACATCATCATGCTAATCATCTGACGACATTGCTCTCATTAGGGGAAAGGATGCATTTTTTTTCTTCTCGCGAAATAGTTAGATTTCGCCAATCATACGTTTTGCAATGCGGGTAATGCTCCATATATCGTTGAAATCGATCAACATCTGGCCAATAAAAGAGATCGTGAGACTGTCGAGTCACTGTCGGGGGGGGATCTGAATCGCGATGTATGGGCTATTGCAATACTTTTGACGCTTTTTGCTTCGGGGTTTCAATGTCTAGACGTGCACGAGGCTATTGAAAACAGAGGGAACTAAACGAGAAACTTGCAGATGGATAAATCGAAGTTGAAGTGGAGAAATTCCTGTATTGTAGGCCAGAAAATTCCAGAACTTTCCGGTGAATTCGAAAATAATTTCTTGACCCTCCACAGGCCGTCCGATAATTACCGCGATTAGATATTCTCCATTAACTTTATCTTCCCAGAACCAACATTATTATCCCCCGCGCGACGTGTGACGAAACGATGATGACTCCAATTATTCTCCCCCGTTAACTTTCATTAAAATCCGAATGCACATTTTTCTTTTTTTTCGAAGCATTCAATTGGTGAAAGGCTCGGATTCCCCCCCCCCCCCCCCCCCC